TTTTAAATTCTAATTGCCTTAACAAAAAATGTGATCACGTAATAATATCACGCAGAACAAAGACGAAATAGAAGTCGTCGCTTAATTCTCATGTTTATTTATTGGGACACCCTTTTAATATATTATGCATGTATATCTCCCCACCTACATTTAGTGACAGCTAACAAGGCATAAAGCATCTTCATCAAGCATCAATATTCAAGCAGCAAGGCAGTTATCAAACAAGCGTAGAACAATCAAAATGACAGCCAGGTCTGTTGATAAAAATTAAAGGGATACTTTAAATCACCCTGTATAGATTTTTTCTTAATTGCCCTCTAATTAAAGAGTTCTCAATTAAGTAACATCTTTCTTTGTTTACTTGCAAACTTGTAATTTGACAAATGCTGGTCTAGGAATGAAAGAGCTAATAATATTTATTGTATTTATATAATCGCAGACCCTCTCCCTTCCCTCTCTCTTCTCTCTCCCCTCCCTATCTTTTCCCTTCTCTCTCCCTTCCTTCTCCCTTCCTTCTCCCTCCCTTCTCCCTTCTCTCTCCCTTCATTCTCCCTCCCTTCTCACTCTCAGCTGTCTGATCCTAACTGTCCAGCTTCCTAGACCGTGTTTACAGATTAGGCTTGATAACCATGTAAACCATAGACTCAGAATAGACATAGACAGGTCAAAAGACATGTAAGCAATAACTATATAGATTAAGAATAGACATAGACAGATCAGTTAACATGTAACCAATAACCATAGACTCAGAATAGACATAGACAGGTCAGGAAACATATAAGCAATAACTATATAGATTAAGAATAGACATAGACAGATCATTAAAAATTTAACCAATAACCAAAGACTCAGAATATATATAGATAGAAAAGGAGACATGTAAGCAATAGCAATATAGATTAAGAATAGACATAGACAGATTAGTTAACATGTAACCAATAACCAAAGACTCAGAATAAACATAGATCTAGGTCAGAAGACATGTAAGCAATAGCAATATAGATTAAGAAAAGATATAGACAGATCATTAAACATGTAGCCAATAACCAAAGACTCAGAATATACATAGACAGGTCAGGAGACATGTAAGCAATAGCAATATACCTGGCTCTAGACAGTTATAGACACTAGACAAGTAAACCAATAAATATCCTGATAATAGTCAGAAGCGCACAGGTCAAAAGACATTTAACCATTAGTCATGGATTAGGAATAGGACAAAGACACTAGACAGGTCAAAAGACATGAAACCAAATTACTATAGCCAGAGAATATGTCTATAGCTAGGTTAAAGATATAGACTAAAAGTTAACCTGAAAGTTATTGATGCATTCCAGATTATTTTGGAGTTCACTGTGTTATTTTGCTCACATTTCTTTATTCATTTTCCTAAAGTCGTCGTCGTATATTTCAATTCAATGAAGACGAGTATCTATATTCTAATTTGTATTTCTACCAAGTTTTCAAACAGCAGAAATACTTTTAAACAAAAGAAGAAATATGCTAATTTACAGCTTTTTAATTTGTAATTTGAAGAAAAGCATTATCAAAGCATTATTAACAAAAAGTCGTTTCACTGTATTGATATAATCGCCGACCACTGTTTATACAGAGTTCCACGAGGTCGATCAGTTTCTTCATGAAGAGAGGATGACATGACATCAATTCCTGATTGATCACACCAACCTTAAAAATGCTGCCAAACAAATCTGCAAAAAGATTTTTATTTTCATAGTCTCATGCTGCAGTATATCTTTTTAATATCTGTTAAAATCATTTCAACAGAAAATATTAGATTTAATTTTATTTGAATATTTTTGTTCTATAAAGACGATTCAGTCTGTTTAAATATTAGTTCTTAATATTCTTAGTCTATGTCTGCGGGACTGATTATTTCTGATTTAATATTTTACATTCTTCTGTTTGAAGTTACAAGAATTGATGGATGAAGACCCGTTTGTTTTGTTTTATCTGCATTTTTCAAGCCACGAAAAATATTTTTTTGTATGAATGTCCTTTGTTCCATGACGAATACTTTCTATTTTGACAATGACCGAATGAGACTTGATCTTGATAAGTTCGTTGGAGAAGATTTTCATTTGAGAACAAAATTTATCGTTGTAGGTGCAGGGTATAGCAACCAATAAACATCGTAACAATCCTTTTTTAACTACATTTTTTATCTGAACAAAACCATTTTTAACGTACTTTTGAAAAAAAAGTTGTTACTGAATGAACAATTTTACTGAACAACCGATTTAATTGAACAATCGTTCACTTCAAGAAAACAAACGAAACAAACTAATGAACAAGCCCATCTCTACACGTCACATGACCTTATGGTTCATGATTCATGAAAGACAGAATCAAAAAATCCCTTCATAATTGTTTCTCCCCCCCCCCCTCTCGAATTTCAACACAATTATCTGGCATTTGAAAAATGTATAGTATACAAGAAACCCATAAAACTACGGAATATGAAAAAGACATCAAGCAATATTTTATGCATCTTTTCATTTTTTAAATTTTGATATTTAAAAGCAAACAGTTTTACCAGTTGCTTAAAACCAATATATTACGTAAATGGGTCTGTTTATAACTTTATACACTCCACAAATACCGCCTCTCAGATTCAATGGATTATTTAAAGCTAACCATAGTTGGAGTTTCTTGGAGTTAATTGGAGTCTTCTTCTTATTCCACAGTTTTTTCGGGTCCTATCGCTTATTCAAAATTATCAACATTAACCACAACATTTTTTACTTCCATGCTACATGTTAGGTTTTTTTCCGGCAGTCATAAGCCACAATTCCGTTCGATCTTCCATGCCAAGACATTTCCGGCAACACTTCCGGCAATTATTACGTTTTCAAAGAGTAAATTTTAAGTGCATTGAAATTGCGATTTTCAAAAAATCCAGCCACGCCATGCAAGGTAAATGATCTTTGTACTTAAGTTTTATAGTAAACAGCTAAACTTATTTTTCCTCAACTGTCCTCTAAAATGGCTTATTCTTTAAAATATTGTGAACAGGAAACATGATTGCACCAAATTATACTCTTTATGCTGAAAGAGCGCCCATGTAATGATGTAACCGAAGATTTGCACAATTTAACGAGAAAATTTCAAAACAAATTTTTTTCTTCTGAAAATCTGTAACACTTAGGTAGTGACAGTTTATATTGTGATTTTTTGCATCTTTTCTAATGAACTTAAACACCCAAAATTTGTCTCGGTGCCTACAATGCTTAAAATGATATAACATTTTCTTTGTAAAATGTAAAGCAGTTTATCAACTGGACACACAATTAACATCTTTAATACACTTATAAAATATTTTAAAGATATCATCTTTCGCATAATGCAGCTAGATTTTTGAAAATAGCAATTTTGGTGTTGGTAATTCTCTACTAAATTGTAACAATGAAAGAATTATCAGAAGTAAGGTTAGGGGTACCGTTGTGAATTGAGCATGCATACCCAACTTTTAAGTGGAGGGTCTTTCCTAAGTTTAACAGCCCCTGATTTGAATGTCGTCTTATATTTAATTCCAGTAATTAACCCACGACCCTTTCCTCTTTTCTCTATTTCAGCATAACGACATAAAATGCAAACCTCAATTTTACAATTTACAAACTTAGGAAACTTAAATACTTAGGAGTCTTCTAATTCATAATGGCACCCCTTTAGAAGGGTTGTTAATCGTTTTGGGAAATAACGATAGTATTTTAAAACGATCCAGTCGTTTTGAACTTTTAGAAAACAAATAATGATCGTTATTGAAACGATCGTTTTTTTAAATCGATTTGCGACCGTTTTTCATACGATATCTTTTTGAAGAAAATTATATGAATTTATGTTAACGAATCGTCTTCGTAAACGATCGTTAACGAAAAGACAAACTTTATAAAAAATGGTTGTTTATTGAATGTCGTCTCACATGAAGTTTAACAGTTGTGGGGGAGTTAAAACTCCTTGATATTTTCTTAAAAACTACTCAATGATAAGTACAGATGCCCTTCAGGTCGGTTTCCTCTCTTCATTAACGATCGTTAACGAAGGGTCGCCGTTATTGATCGTTAACGAAACGACGAGTTTAAAAAACGATCATTTTATATAAGACCATTTTTAAAATAATCTTTCAGTTTCGATTTTTCGTCGTCGTTCTCAGAACGAAACTATCGTTTTTCACAAAATGAAATTTTGGTTGTCCAGAAAAACTTTTAGATTTCCAGAAGCTTGCTACAGTGTTGAAAAACACATATTTCAAGGCAGAAAAATAATGATATTGTCTATAGAACTAATCAGACAAAGGTTCAGATAGTGCTTATTTAAATCATGTTCCTCGATTAAAAATAAATGGTCGATTAGGGAAGTCTCATCGATATTTCGAATTTCATAAATTCCAAATGTGAAGTGGGAGGAGTAGGAGGGACATTAATTCAGTGCGTCGGATAAATTGCATTTTGGTGATCCTTGAGTGGATCTTGGTCATGTTTACTTTTTCAGGATTTAACCAATTTCTTTTAAGAACAGAATTTTCTGACTATTTATATCGTACGTATAATTTTAAAACCAAATAAGGTAAATTTTAATAGCTTTTCTTTGGAGCAGTTACACATAACACATTTAAATCAGTTTTTACATAGGACATAGTTATTTAAGAGATTACTGACTGCACCGCTCGGCCCCAATTGTCGCGACCTATCATTTATAATTTATTTTACTGCAAGTTAGTCCAATTTCGACAAAGTTACTGGTTGACATTTCTCACTTCTATCAATTACTAACACTTGCTTAAAAGAAAAGCAGACGCGATCTTGTCAAATTGACCTCAAATCTTCATAAAGTCTTTCCCCATCATTGACTATTAAGTAGCCAGATTCCGAATGGAGCTGATCTGCCAAAAACCGGTTCCATAGAGCGCCGGCTCAGATCTTTAAATTCCTCTAATACGTCCTCAGTTCAATCTTAACATTTGTCACTCCCAACATTAAACAAATTTTTTCTTATTTTTTATTAACTTTCCGACTTACATTTACAGCGTGGACTGCAGAACATAAATTAAATTCTTAAAAGGGAGTAAAGGGAGGGAGGAAGGAGGGTGTATAGCTTTAAACTTGGCTTTGAATTCAATTATAATAAATATTGTTGTACAAAGCACTAAAAAATGTTAAAATCACAAGTTTTTCTTCACTGGAGAGACGACAATGTTTCTAGACAACGTCAAAATTTCACCCTATTGGGGAAAAAAGGGAAGAAATCCCCCTCCCCTCCAGAAAAAGGTGGGATGAACACTCCCCTGGAGGGTGGACAAGATGATGGAAAAGTCCATGTCTGGACAAAATGCTCTAATGTGTGTACTCAATTATCTCCTCCTTCCCCGGCGTCATCACCTTCACCTACAACAAAATTCAAATTACAAAAAATAATGCGATTTATCAGCGGTATTTTTATTCAAGAAATCACCCCATACCAAGTTGTTTCCATCTTCCTTTAATATTTTTTACTTCAAAATTTACTCAATTTCCCAGAAAATGGCTTTCATTTTACGACAGAACGAAAAAAAAAAATTCCGAGGGGGAGATTGAAAAAGAAGAAAATTTACACCCCTGAAACTGTAAAACACCGATTCAACGTTTAGCAATGGATTTAAAAAGGATATTAATTATGAAAACATAAGATTTCAGCAAAACTTATTTCTTTAATGATTAAACTAAATGCAATGTTAGGTTTTAATTGTTGGACATTGTATTTTCAAAAGTAAGATTCGTAATAATAAAGTTAATAAAAATGTCTTCATTCAATTAAAAAACTGTATTGAACTTATGAATTCAAGAATATTTGAAATTGCTAAGATTCGATTAAATAATAAAAACCGAAACTCCAAATTGACGAGGGTCGGTTACCTGTAGTATCTGATGTCCATAGGGTGAGGTTATCTCGTAGAAGCTGCATAATTAAGGTTGAATCCTTGTAGCTGTCCTCATTCAGGGTATCCAACTCGGCGATTGCGTCGTCGAACGCCTAAACAAAAATAGAATCAAATATCTCTCCGAAACCAAGGTCCGTTTAAGACAAAAAGTCTAAGGTCAAAAATCGACAATAAGATAAAAGTTTAAAACAAGAACAAAAACGCACACGTTTGGATAAAAATTAGTTAAAACATCTTGTTAGTTCGGCACAGCTAGTGACCTGTTTAGCTAAATGGCAAGCTCTATCTGGAGAATTGAGGATTTCGTAGTAAAATACGGAAAAGTTGAGAGCCAACCCTAATCTGATTGGATGGGTTGGCTGCATTTTAGCTTTAGAAATATCAAACGCTTCTTGATAGGATCTCTTACTGTCATCAGTCACGGCTAAAATAAAATAAGATGAAAAAAATGAAGATTAGGGACGAGGTCAGATAAACCGTATGCAAGATATTAAGAAATAAAAATTCATCAAATAAAGCCTTTAAAATCTGGAAATTCCTTTCTTTTTATCTTGAAGGCGTATCTTAACCACGCCCCCTTGACAAACCTGTTTCGCTAGCTGACACGCTTTGTCTGGACTGTTGAGGATTTCGTAATAAAAGACTGAAAAGTTGAGGGCAAGTCCCAGTCTGATAGGGTGGGTCGGCTGCATTTTAGACTTGGAAATCTCAAAAGCGTCCTGGTAAGCTTTCTGGGAGTCGTCAATAACAGCTAAAAATATATAGGTCAAGGAACGCAGGGAGCCAAAAACACAATCTTAAATCCAAAAAACGACCCAAGAAGATTGAGAATTGTATATCACGGATGTCTCACTTTTTTTGGCTTACATTAGTCACGTTGATCAGTCTTATGTACCGGCTTTCGTCGGCTGAATTAACAAAACACAGGGTTATAAAACTGAAGAAATTTGCAAATCTACTTCACCTGTAGTAGTCTCCTTTCATCTTCAAGTAAAACACTTTACTCTCAGCATTACTGGCTTTAGCGATTAGATATTTGTCTAACAAAGCCTGAACATGAGACAATGTAAAATTTCAGATTTATTGATTTAAAAATGCAAGTAATTAAATTTGTACTTACCAACACATCATTGCAAATATCTCTGAGTTCTTTTTCAACCTTCTCCCTGTATTCCTTGGCCATCTGTTGCTTTCGTTCACTTCCCTTTAAATAGAAATTTGGTAAAAATTTATACATCAGGTCCTTAATAAAAATTGTAGTTTATACATGCAGTTTTGAGACCCTAGTTACAAATATCAGTTGACCCCCCCCCCCTCTATCCACCGTAGTTTCTTGGCAACGGGCCAAGATATCAGCCGAATGATGGGGATTCAAAGTCAGAATTAAACCTGTCAAATTTCACCCCTCCTCATAAATTGTTCATAAGTCCATCCCAACAGGGACTTTAATTTATCAGTCCCGTCATAAAACAACATTAAAGAAGATGTCAAATGCTTTATTGTAAAGTGAATTTCGAATTTTAAACATAAGGACACATACAACAATGCCTCAATGAGAACAACTTTTTACTTTAAGTAAAAGAAATCGGGAGTGAGAAAAAACATGAATCTGAAGCGAGTCGAATGTGGGTTTATAATTTTAAAATATATTTTTAACTGTGCATCATGCTTGCAAACTGCATTAAATTCCAACTTCAACCTGGAATTTATATGACTCAGACTGCACAATGAGACTGTTAAGTATTTGAATCATCTAAGGGGTCATAACAAAGTGATAGGATATAGAGGAAGTCCCAAGAAAGGGGAATTAAATAGGACATTACATCAGTAGTTGCAAATGCAAATAAATGTTTTTAAGGATCAAATAATTGAATTCCAAAATAGTGTTTACTCGGTAGTTCAAAAAATCTATTAATTTATATTATTCATATTTAAAATGAGTACAAGACAGAAATGAAAAGAGTTTGAGAATTAAGAAACCTCCATTTACATTTTGATATCATTATCTAATGAATAACACGAATGAGCTAAGATCGTGCCATCCGTACTCAAATAGCGTCTTCGCGGACAGCAAGTACGTCTTCAGAACGGAGAAATACGCTCTTAGTTAGCGAAAACAATCGGACAGATTAGTAAATTTAGGTAAGTGCAGACATCTACCGAGCAAACACTCGTGTAAAGTACGTCTTTAACCCCGTTAATTTGAGATGATCCGGGCTCAAAAGGGTGTGCTTGTGTGGCTAGTAATACCTCAGATTTTTGTTCAATTGAGGAGATAACCCTCCAGGAACTCCTTCTGGCTCCGACAACGTTCTGAAATAAAATATCGATTTCAAATATTTTATTTTACAATTATTTTCTTCAGTAGTAAATTTGACCAATGTAAGAGATATGCTGGAAAACATTAAAATATCGCAAAAATAATTCTTAACGGTAAACGTCCCCACCTTTATGTAATGTTTGATAGGGCGTTGCCCCCCCCCTCTCCGTACAAATAAAGTATACCATACAACACTTTTTTCACTGAACCGAGGGGGGTGGGGGTCCGTCCTAGTATGTGATTTATAGACACCCCCCCCCCCAATCCCATCAATTTAGTACATGACCACTTATCGTTCGTCAGCAAAAATATTTTTAAAAAAATTATTTTAGGTTAGGTTCAGACTAATTCGAGGCCGAGCGCTGCGGCCACTTTACCAATTAAATCCATGTGTTACAATACACAATGATCCATGTACAAAATTGATGGGAGGGGGTCCAAAAATCGTATAATAGGATATAACCGGGGAGGGGGGGGGGCTTTAGAAGATTCACCTTGTAGGCTACTGATAAAAGATTCCTCTCCTCATTGCTAAGCTCAATACCGGTTTCAGTCACGGCCTTCATACTTCCGGCCATGTCGTCGTATCTAGAAAACAAATTTGTAGAAACAATTTTTATCTTTCAGTATGCTTTAGCAAAAACTTTCATGTGAGGAAGTGAATTGGAATATATCATAAATTTCAATACTCACGAAATTTTAAATGTGTAAAATTATACCTTTCAGCCTGTTCGGCGAGCTTAGCCCTCTGTACTAGTTCTTCCTTTTCTGCCATTGTGCCTAAATAACACAATCAAAATTTATTCTTTTTTTTAACTGCGTAGTTATCTTAATATATCTTTCGTTATCTTGTATTTACTGCGTAATTTCACAAACATGGACCTTTTTTAATAATTCCATATTTATTAATTATCTATCACAACTTTGAGAAAACATTAAACAGGATAAAGTAACTTAAAATACCTTTAAGGTTTTTTGTAAGTGATCAGGTAGTTGGGAGGGTCCGAATACTAGATACTGAGCTAATATGTGAACTAAAGAGCAGAGGCCGGGATACTGGGTGCAGGGACTGGACGACAAGAGTCAAATCAGGGTTTGAACATTCCAATAATTAGGACAATTCTTGACCAGAAACTTTAACACGTTTTAACCTGGATTTTAATACTTCAAACAATTTTAATAATTGTTTTCTTAATTTCAATGTACTATGATAAGTATTCAGGTTGAACAAATTGCTATATAGTCAATCAATCTTATCTAAATTCGCCATGTTTTATCCTTCTGGAAAGTACCGGGGGACGGAGTTAGATTTGACTCCGGAAATTCACCGATTTCTAGAGTGCCGGATTTAAATAATTTGGCGCAATAGAAGAAGTATTAGTCATACGATTAAATTTTTATACTTCGCAGAAAGTGAATAATAATATTTCGAACAATTTGCTGTGCTAAATGTTGCCGATTAAACTATTGTTGGGTGGAATTTAGGAAGGTTAAATTGTATTTAGTTTAAATGCGCCAGAATTTCACCTGACTAGGTGTATTTTATTCCCGCATTTTAGCTGGGCCACCTGATGACCTGATGGGGTGTGGCAAGTTCCACAGACCGGCAGGTTTTCAAATTTCTGCTAATAGAGCATGTGTCACGGGTTCACATGGGATTGCGTATGAATTTTGTAAATCTTTAAAATCCCATATAAATTGAACGTATTCAAAACTCAAAAATATCATGATGTATCAATTGTGACGTCCCCTAGCTATAAAAGGTATTTATTTTTCTTACTGATTTTATTGAGATCCGTACACAATTCCGGCTATGGATCAGTGAAATTTGGTGTCCGGGGGGGGGGCGCCGACCCTAAACAGGTGGTGGGCTACCCTGGATCAATTCCTGTGTACGCCCTTGGTTTCATTTATCTCTATAATGTGCAAATTCGACAGTGACATGGAAACGCCTCAACACGGAAATGGATCAAAAATTACTTAAGAGGAATTTCTGTTTTTTTAGAAATTCGAGGAAATTCCTAAAAAGTTCAGAATTGTTGAAGGATTTCTGAATATTGTATCATGGTTCCCAATATTTTATAGTTGAATGCTTTCCTCATATTTTAGGTCCGTCTTCATTTTTCATCCGTTTCTACTTTTTTCAAAAACTTTAAAATCTAAATTTGTTGATCGGTTTCCTCAAATTTTAGGCCTGTTTCCTCATATTCTAGATCCGTTGCCTCTTTTTTTTTCAAAAACTTTAAAATTGATCTGTAATTCCTCATATGTTAGATTAGTTTCCTCAAATATTAAGTTCGTTCACTATATTTAAGATTCATTTCCGCTTTTTTCTAAAAATTTCTTAAACTTTAAAAATCAGTTTCCCCAAACTTTAGGCCTGTTTCCTCATATTTTAGATCTGTTTCCTCTTTTTTAGATAACTTTAAAATTGATATGTTTCCTCATATCTTAGATGGGTTTCCTCAATTTTTAGGTCCGTTTCCTCATATTTTTGATCCACTTTAAAACTCGAATTTGTTTTTGCTTTTGCTTTTTTCCAAAGAAAAAATATTTTCTATATTCTCTTGTCTATAAATAAGCTTTTTGATCCTGCATTCATTTTTACTTACAACTTAATAAAGTTATTATGCAGGTCAGTAAATATACTTTTCTTTTAAGGTCTGATCCATGTAATTAGACTTTTTAGTGCATTTTTTACTCTGTTTCCTGTTTCGATAAAATATAAGTATTTATCATAATTCGGTTTGTTATGAAAAATGTACGAACTGCAGAGAATAACTAGAATTTGTAAAATAAAAATAACATATTTTTTATTTAATTACGGGCAACACCGGGCACTTCACCTAGAAGTTTATTTTTTTCAATGCTTTGTGGATCATTTATTTGCCGTCTGCGAGGTCTCTGTGACAACTACAGAAAAATAGATAGAATTTTTAAATTATACAGCTAGAAAAACTTACAAAATAATGAGGTTGTTTGTATTCCGAAAAATTTGGAAGAAACTTTTTGGGTACAGTGGTCAGCATTTATATCAATACTATGATTACAAGTTTCCATTTCATTTTCTTAAAGGACTTATTCAAGTTACAAATTAAAACAGGCCTGTAACTAGGATTTTGAAAAGGGGGTTGTACAATGTACATTCCTTTATAAAAAGCTGGTTTTTTGGTATGCAACAATTTTCATTTAATCCCCCCGGGATATTTTCATTGAAAGATACTTTGAAAATCTACAAAGGCAAACAAATCCGCAAAATCCGCAAGCCCTAGGGTTTATCATTGAATCACCTCTTTTAAAAGGAATGTCATTTACTCTCAGACAAATTAGAATCAATGGAAATTTAAACCCCCGAGGGATTCAATGATAAACCAGAGGGCGTAGCCCAAGGGTTTATCATTGAATCATTGAATAAGTTTTCGCTGCTGTGGAATTTTTTTTGACAAAACTGGCATTATTTGACATAAACAGGGCCATAATAAGAAATTTTAAGAAAATTAAATTATTTTGTAAAATTGAATAAGGCTTATATAAAAATTGTCTTGAAGAAAATGTCAGGGTTTTCGAGCATTATGAAATCAACGTTAAAGGATTTGAGTCTTTGCCACAAACTCTGATCTAATCACTATATCTTTAGAACCAAATGTTGCAGACCTTAGATATTTCAAACTATGAATTCTGTTAGATCAAGTAATCTGAGTTTGAAATATCAAAGGTTTACAACATCGAGTTCTAAAGATATTGCGGTTTAAATATTTGATATTGTTCCAAAGACTCATTTCCTTTCTTACAGTTTTGGATAAATTGTAAAAACTTTTGTATTAATTAAACAGTATAATTTCAAAATTTTCACTTTCTGATGTAGGAATTAAAAAAAAACAGGAAGCAGTTGAAATACATGTACGTTAAGTTAAACCACTTCTCTAGTTAACCCCATTGGCAATTGAGAAGTTGTTTAACTAGGCAGATCTATAGTTGAACTAATTATCTATCGATTTTTCAATCACGACTTAAATACCAACTCTGTTCTTCTTGGATCACCCTGTATCTGATCTTATTTATAAGCACTGCATCCTGTCTTTATCTGTGTAATCTGTGATACCTTGTCCCATCTGTATTTTTTTATTTATATGTGATCTAATACCTGCCAATAGATCCAGACTGCTACGAATAGTGGCATCAAGTTGACTTTAATTGTGTTGCAACTTATATGTATAGGTCTGAACATTTACATTTTAGAACTATAAAGTATTTGTTTCTAGAGTTTTCGTTTTTAAGTAGAAATTGACAAAATCCTGACTGAATTTTTCGTGGATCACTGTGCTGCATCTAGGCTGTCCTACTGTTTTAACTGTTTTCGTAAATCCGTCGTTACTGTGCTATTTATATATTATATGAATTAACAACTGCCAATTTTTTTTTAATCAGTAATTTAGCATATAATTCCACTTTTTGGAAAACAAAATATTTCGAAACTGCATGATATTCTTCAATTCAAAGGTTCATCTTAATGTATAAATACTTTAATGAACGGCTTCCTGGATCGTTTAATAACATGTCTTGTGCTTTGTCTCATCAAATCCGATCAAAATGCTAAGATTAGAAAGACCAATTGGAAAAGTATTAACGCAATTTCCTAAAGTTTTACCACAAATATGAAATTCGTTGTAACAAGAAAAATTATAAACTCTTGTTCTTTAAACTTGATAAAAAAAGCATGTGAAAAAAAAACAATTATGTATCTGCAATTTGAATGTTCAAGATCAAACTGTTATTCATGTAGTTCTGAGCTATCGATTTTATTTGAGCTATATAACCCCCCCTCCTCTCTTCATAATACTTACTCCCTACCTAAAATTATGTCATACAATAACATTCGGGTTTGCCATTAAAGACGGGCAATGTTGGCTTGGCAAATCCCTTCATTAAAGTGTTTGTTTAAAAAATATAACTATGTATGATTGTGTACTTTAATTAAAAAAATCTATCTATCTATCTATCTATCTATCTATCTATCTATCTATCTACCTACCTACCTACCTACCTTACCTACCTACCTACCTACCTACCTATCTATCTATCTATCTAGCTTTTCTCTGTATTCTTTGTCTCCTGTATTGCCTGAATTAATAATCTGTGATATAACTATAATTATTATAATAAAATAATTTCTATCTTTTCCTTGACAATGCTCTGACTACAAATATTGCCTAGAGTCTTACCACTTTATGTTATGCCTTTTCTGTGTAATCTGTGATTAACAACAGCCTAGATTGTATCATCTGTACAATTTGAAATCTCTCTACTACATTTCCTATCCAATCTGTGTAATCTGTGTCTTATCTACTTCTGCATCCCTTCTTACGCTTTCTATACAATTTGTGATGTCAATTCATATACATACATTTACTGTCTTAACTGTGTCAGCTGTAATCTCTAACAAAAATTTAAACATACATGAACAATAACAATATATTTAAAGTTTAGATTCATAAATTTCACTGGGTTTCATTCTTCGACTATTGGGTGAGATCATACAATAAAAGATTTGTTACACCAAATGCAATGAATTAAATTTTTTCTTCAAAAACGCAATTATGATTTTTTTAATTAAGATTTTAACACATTTCAGATGATAATGAAGTATTATTCTTGAGAAAAAAGGAAAAGAAATAATAAAGTTAGATTTAAAGCTTTATCAATCATGACATTATAAGAAATTTCAATGATTTACAAGATAAAAAAATATATAAAACTCAAACATAAATCATCATGAGATAAAATCAGATAAATAATTATGAGAAATGAGTTAAAAGTAAATTTAGTAAATTATATTTTTACCATGTCCATTTCGCAAAATATGTTAATACTAAGAATTCATTTTTAGTGCACAGTCGTGTCACATTTTTAGTGCACAGTCTTGTCACATTTTTAGTGCACAGTCATGTCACATTTTTAGTGCACAGTCGTGTCACATTTTTAGTGCACAGTCATGTCACATTTTTAGTGCACCGTCATGCCACATTTTTAGTGCACGGCATGTCAAATTTGTTTTTAAATATTGGAAGTTATGAATTTTGAGTATTATTAATGATATGTTGTTACAGAATATACACTGATTACAATTTAACATAATATTTGTTGTATTTTTAAAACGGTTTGATTTCAAGAAATTATAACTTTTCATTTGGTTTGTTTATTTTAATAGAGTATAAACTTTGCTTTAATTATTTGGCTTTTTTTAGAGATATACTTAATTATCTCAGATTTTTAAAAATTAGATAAAGCATTACTAGAGAATGAAATGGGTTCATATTACTTCAGGACAAAAACTGTCATAATTGAATTAATTCATTGTGCAATGTGCACAATAGAATTATATTTTCAGCTCTGAGACTAGTTCATGGTCACCATTTTAAGTTAAAGAGAGATACTCAATGATTGATTGATTGATTGTATTTTATTATTATGCATAAAAGGATTTAGAGCTAACTTCATTGCTGTACATTCTCTTGCTATATACACTCCATGGGGAGACAACTCACTGAGTATTATTGCATTGATTAATTTCTTGAATAATCCCCTATCTGTAGAGCGGTGAGTGGTAATATAGACAACAACTAATCCATCAGAATTTCAAAATGGATTCCTCCCTTTCGTGGATTTGTTGGATCATGTTGGATGTTACGAGCCCAGATCTTACACCTGAAAACTTAAATTTAAAGGAACTGTCAATGTTATTTATTAAGTAACAGAAATACTCAAAATGGTATCCAGTAAACAAGGGTTTTTTTCTTCATGTTTCTACAGTATGTAGCCAGAACGCGATGGAATTGCAAAGAAAATCAGCTTCATTCTTTTGTTGTAAGAAAGGAGTTGAGCCTTTGTCTCAAGTTCTGATATTTCCATTCCTTAATCTTTGCAACCCAATTGTGTAGACCTTATAAATTCCAAACTATAAAATCTGATAGATCAAATAGATCAAAGGTTTACACCATCAGGTTGCAAAGATAAAGGGGTTCAAAAATTTGAGTTTGTGGCATAAGACTCAATTTCTCTAATCTCAATATCAACATAATACTTTTTAATTTTAAAAAAATATGTAAGAACTAACCTGACTTGAATAAGAACTCCAGGAGTAATATTCCTTAAAAAAAAAATACGAAATTAGAATGATTTCACTTCAAAAGAGAATTTAACAGAGAACTTCACTTTGGGATCGTTGGGAAACATTAAGAAAAAAATAATCATATTGAACATTGTTTTTAGAAATAAAAGAGTTCAAGAAAAGTAGTAAGTAAGTCTGAATAATTTACAGGGTGATACAGGTTGGAAACTTGGAACTGATAAGATTTTAAAATCATAACAATATGACATGAGTTTTGTGTATTTCCTCTACTTATACCTGAACTGTATGAATACAATTGGTGAAAGATAATGTTGTTGGTTCAAGTATGGATAATAATAACCAGGAAATCCCTGAAAATAACATCAATAATAGGGGTGTGCACATTTTCCAGCAGTGATACACTAATGTGGAGCCAGACCTAGATCCACAATATTTTGTCTTTGACACCTTGGATCAGTAGCAGAAAAATCAACAAAATTTAAAAGAATCTTCTTATTTTTGATATTACTTTCATTCTTGACAACAATGATTTTTAAAAGTTGGAAGTTGGATTTCTAATAACAAACATGTGTAATAATAATTCTAACTAAAAGATAATAAAAAAGCCCTAAGAAATAAAGTTTTTTTAGGTAATTTATTATATATTTTAAACTTGGGCTCGGTTAGGTTTTTTAGAAGAACGGAACTAAAAGAAAATTATGTTAAAAATACTGTAAAATTTAAAATAATTTACAAACAGAAAAAGAACTGTTAACTAAATGAGCCACTCGTTATTTCAATTTTTCTACATTTCTACCCGTTAACAAATGTATTAAAAAAAGTTTGAACATTTCCAGTCCTAATTAAGACTAGAAATAAAATCTTCGAAATAATTGAAAAAATAAAAAGATCAGAATTCCAAGAAATATGAAAAAACGGTTAAATTTGAAGAAAAAAATTGTTTGCTTTAAGGTTAAAAAGTAAACATGAATCATTATCACTATGTATTGCATTGTGCAGAGTGCTTTATTCACATGTATTTACAATGAAAATAATAACAGGCGTATCCACTTGTCAACTGACCAATTCATAAATACAATATTAGGAAAAATCTGAATAGAAAAAAGCTGCTTTTCAGAATTCATCAATGAAATCAACAGAATCAATAAATCTCCCAGCATTCATTTTTTATTCATGATTTATTGATTATCAAAACTTTTATTAACTTGTACAAATATCATTTTCATCATAAAGCGAATCATACATTGAGGTCCCATTTAGATAGCAAGTGGCAACTTTAATTTTTAAGAACGAAAATTTATACAACTGCTATATCTCAAAATGTATTTGTATCCTAAGTATTATTATTGTTTTGAACATATATTGTTCACCATTTTGATAAAGCATTTTTTGCCATTTAGAAAATTTGTCCGCAATTTTTAAAATACTAGAAATTCAAGGCGCTTCGCGCCCTTCTTTCTAGCCTTAGAGGGCGCTTCGCGCCCATCTTCTAAATTAATTGTAAACATGTTCTCTTTGTGTACATCGTAAAACTAAACAAAAATAATTTGCGGATTTTTACAAAAAATTTCGCGGATTTTCAAAATTTTAAAAAATTTAATGACGATCAAATTTTGATAGAGACAAATATTTGAAATTTTGATGATTCATAAACCTTCCCTGGGCTCCCTAGATGTCCCACAAAAAATTTGGGCCCGATCGGTTCAGCCGTTTTGACGTTTATTGGATACAAACAAACAAACAGACAAACAAACAAACAGACAAGCCAAATTTATATATAGATATATTGTTTACCAGGATTTGAAATCATATTGTTCACTATTTTAAAAAATCATTTTGCTATTTTAAAAAATATTGTTCGCCATTTTGAAAATGCAAATTCCGCCATTTTGAAACTAAATTTTCATCCATTTTAAAATAGTCTACCTGCCAGGGAACATAGTGAACCTTGCCCATATGCTCTTCATCAGCTGCTGTTTCCCCCTCACAGGACAACCAAATCATTCGCATCTGGGGACACCTTTATAATTCAAATAAATTCACCTCAATTTCAAAACTTAGTACAGACAGCAAAGTTTTATCTTTGTGAAAAAAATTTCCTTTGAAAGAAAATTTATAAAAGATACATTAATATAATTCAGACCGATTATGGGCTTTTTTATCTAGTTTTTAATTAAACTTGCAAAAGAGTGTTTCATAGTTAAATGAACATTAGAAACAGCCATTATGCAGTGTAAACAGAACTTAAGTTTTAGCCTAAATCCCCCTTTTATTTTTTCTCTAAAGTCCTTTTAAGTTATTATTTTTTGCGCTTATTTCATTAAAAAAATTTTTTTTATTCAATAGCATAAAAATAACTTACTTTTTTCTGGCTTTTTTGGGTAAAGGTAAACAGTGCTTGTTGTAATGATTTGTTATTGTAGTCTTCAACCACGTGGGCATTCCCACTATATTGTTTATCTAAACATTTTAATCATGTTACAGGGGTGTATATTTTCTTGAAAAATTATTCACTCATTTTCAGTATTTTTTTTTCTCCCAATGCATTAGGCGTGTCTGCGCTTTTTTTTGTGCTGAATTTGGAAAAAATACTATTTAGGGTTTTAAAAAACTAATTCTTAGGGTTAAAAGGATCTAAAGAAGGAAAAACTTGCTAGTTTAATTCCAACTTTTTATTTTTTTTCCAAAAAATCATTTTCCTGGATCGAGATGAAGGGGAGGGGGGGGGGGTAATTCTTCAAAGTAATACCCCGTCAAATAAACAAATAAATTCATTAAAACAGTCAAATATATTTCACATGTTTTCCAACAAAAATATAAACATTTGTCTGAATTATAAAGTTATTAAATAAAAAAAATTAAAGTTATGTGAAAATAATTTGAAATTTAATTTATACAAAAGAAATGTACAATTAGGCCATAATTTTAGGGTGAAAAGAATAAGAATAAAGTATTGGGGGAATTATAATTTTGGTTAAATAAAACATTATTATTACCTGTGTAAGATTGTAGTAGGGTCTAGGTTCCCATCCATATATATTATTCATTTTTAATATAACACAGGGGCGCCCGTGGTACATACCATACCTGAAATAGTTTTTATTCATCAGAATATTATTTTTTGTTTTTATTGCTTTCATTGGGATTCTCATGAATACATAAATTGAGAACTAAAGAATGAGGATGTTATAAGTTCATGTTCAAGAGAGAGTTTGATATTGGGGACCCCCTTCCATTCTTTGATGATATTTAATCTAGGCCAAGTTATTAGTGTTTTGGACACCTCAGCCTGATGATCGGGAGGGAACCCCCGGCCTCCATGAGCCTCCGCTTTGCAGACACAAGCGGTTCCATAGCAAATCATGGAGGCTTGTGTCTGCATAGCGGAGGCTCATAGCGGCCAGGGGTTCCCTCCAACGGCTGATGGCCTGAGGATTATAAGTCTTGTAAATCTGAAAGGGATTGTTCACTTATTTCAGCATACTTATACTTATAATTATTCGATTTTTGTGATTATGAAAAAAAGGCTATCTCAGCGCTCACAGATGTTCTCGAGCCCCGGACTAATAAAAAATGTCAACGAAAAACAGGAACATTTTTGAGTGGTTAGATGGGATTAGAAGTGTTCTTAATAAAAAAAGTGGTATCAGTATTTTAAAATTGGTCGAGACTCCCTTTCAATCACCGCTAACGAACCCCATCCTGCTGCCCCGTCGTTTTTTTTTACACCTTGTTGACAGAAAATTTTATCTTGTCACTATAAGCAGTGAGTAAAAAAAGATTATATTTGCAGGATACCTTGCAACTTATTCAACATAACAAACTATTAAAAATACATATTTCAAGAAACGTTACATTGGTCGGCGATTATATAAATACGATAAAGACGACTTTATCAAAAATGCTTTGGTGCCAGATAAGCGTTTTCCAAATTTTAACTTTACAAAAAAAAAACTGGTAATTGACAACTTCTCTTTGTTTACATGTTTTTGTGCTGTTTGAAAGCTTGGTAGAAATCAAATCAGAATAGAAAGTCGTCTCTTTATTGTATTGATATTTTAGTGAAATGACTTGATTCCGTTTTAGTAAAATATAGCAACCATTTTTAGCTTTTTTCATCACAGTCATTATTTAAGAAATTTTTTTCACCTTATTTTTTATATGTTTATCATTATTATTTAAGTTACATTTTTTTATGCAAAATATGTAGTTTAACAACAAAAAGTCTTAACAGTGACAACTTACTTTTCAGCCCCCGTACAGGGAACATCTGTGTCCAATGCCATCCACTTCCGGTTGGCCACGTGACACCTAAATTTTTAAAAAGTTTTTAATTTTTTTTCATAATCAAAAAATTTACATTTTTTCATTCTTGTTTGATGCTAACAAAGTAACTGAACTCTTGCCACAAATTGGACTTTTCAAATTCCTTTATCTTTGCAAACAGAATTTTAATCGTTTAAATATTTAATTATCTGATTTATGGTTTATGACTTTAGGTTTCAAGCATATAAGGTTATTAAAGTTAGAGGGCAAGCGTTAACTGTAAACTGTCTGGGGCAATTTTTATGTTGATTTTCATTTATTAATTTAATTTATATTTTTTTCTAAAAATCGGATTTAATTTATAAAACCCAAAGTAAAAGTTGTAAAGGAATATTTAACATTGTTTTAAGTGATTACTTAATTTAGGAGATACCATTAACGATTTACTTAATTTAGGAGATACCATTAACGATTTACTTAATTTAGGAGATACCATTAACGATTTACTTAATTTTCCCTCTCGTCTGTAGAATAGAAATTTACAAGTGATTATTCTTAAAACATGGTTGCAATAATTTAAATTTTTAGAAAAACGGTGATAGTATTTTTCAACGCATACACTCGTCTCATAAAATTCGGTCAAAACACCTTAAAAAGGAATTAAACACTTGTCACAAACTCTAATTTTTTAAATCCCTATATTTCTTAACTTGATGGTGTAAACTTTTTGATGTTTTAAACCTTAGATATAACAGGATTCAAATATCAAAGGCCTACAATATCAGGTTGTAAAGATATAAGGACTAACAACTTTGGATTTGAGGCAAGTGTTGAGTTCCTATTCTTCCTTTATACCTAAAATCTTTAGTAAGCGTGGTGTTCCAGTTACACACACTTGAAGCTCCTATACGCTCACCAAATGAGTACCCCTGAAAAAATAAATATATTTTATTTTTAAAAATCATTTTTGACAATTAAAATTGTTGGGAAAAATGGAAACATCGGTATCTCGGTAGTTTAAAATGCCCTTCAGATCAAAATTTGCAACTTCTCGAAGTAAGTTATGATCCTAAAAATTGTTTTATTAATTAAAATAATCTACAAAATAGACCAAGGAAGGAGGGATTAGCAATTTAAAAAAATTTCCCGCTAGATGTAAGTTTTTGATGTCGGTTGGGGGGGGGAGGGGGGGGTGCTTTAGAATATTGTTTTTTACCTTTATAAATTCTTTGATTCTTGAATTAAGAACCTCCCAGTCCCCACTACCACCATGACGGAAGGATATTAAGCTCGAATAAGGATTGGTTGGCTGAGGCCTAAATTAATGAATATTGGTTGGCTGAGGCCTAAATTAATAAATGCATTCAGGATTATATCTTTTAAAGGAAACCAAGTATCGTCGCAAACTTTAATTTTTAATCCCTATATCTATGCAATCTAATAGTTTGACATATTAAAGGTCTGGGATTTGGCAAAAACTCAGAGGCTTTAAATTTATGTTACATTGTAGAAAGTATTCACACCAAAAAATAAAGTTCGAGTTATTTTACTGCTGATATTTTTGAATTAAAATACAACTTGACAATGGTACTTTTAAGTAACTCAGCACACTTACAAGTACGGGTTCATAGCAGTTCAGGATTTAAAAATAGCAAAGTAAAAATTGGATTTCTTTTAATAATTTTGAAAATTTATCCTTTAGAACAGAAAATCAGATAAAATTTACTATTGTTGTCGATTTCTGTATAGTAAGTAAAGACGAACAGAAATAAATAAATAAACAGAGTGGCGCGAAGTGCCCTGGCTGCTAATGACCTGGCTGCTAATGACCTATATTTTGTTAACTGTGTACAATCATTATTCATTGGTAAGTAAATACCACCAGACCACCAAAATCAAATGGACACAAGTTTACCTATCTAATAGATTTGACGAGGGGTTTGCGAAATTCAGTGAAAATAATTAAAATTACAATTTTTTTCTTCAAATTTACGATAGGAAAAGAAGTAATGGTTGTTCATTTACAGCTCAAGAAAACGTGCAACATTTTTTGAATTATTAAAGAATGATAATTAAAATTATTAAATTATTAAAATGTACCGATTTCCCTCCGTTTTTTGCTAAGATTTACAATAAAATAAAAAAAACACAGTTTAGATAACAATCGATGAAAACCCAATAATTTACTTTTAAGATTATAATTTTTATGAAAGATAAGATCAAAATTAATCCTTTTTATGTTTTTTATTCCCTATTTGTTTGTAAAGTTTCTAGACCAGTTTCTTTTTCTGAACTTTACTGGCAAAGTATAGAAAGTGACGAAACCTTTATTCATTTTTAATCAAGCAAAAACCTTCTCAGCTTATAGTTTGCCCTCAATATTTGTCAAAACATGTAAACATCTAAAAAAGTTGCGCAATTTTTTTTGCAGTACCATGTTAGTTTCTAACAAATATATAATAATAATAATAATAATAATAATAATAATAATAATAATAATAATAATAATAATAATAACAATAACAATAGTAATAATAATAATAATAATAATAATAATAATACCGTGGCTCGAAAGGATCCACTAGACTAAGGTATAGAAAGAGTGCTAAACACCAGAAAAAGGTCAACAGACTTACAAATAAAAACTAAACCAAAGAAAATAATTTTTTTTAATTTCTCTAACTTTTTACAATATTTTTTTTCGTATTGAATTGGCTCATTAAAGATGAATGTATTTTTAAGAATTCATGATTTAATGCGCGTGCTTAAATTGTTTTACCAAAAATGTACTTCCAAAACTACTACACGGGGGTTTTGGACACTATTATAAGAGCTGCTGGGGCGTGGGCAGACGAGGTGGGAGGGGTTGACCATATTCTAAACAATGGAAAATTGCGAGCACAGAATTGGCAGTCAAATTGTGCGTATATCAATCGTATAAAAAAACTTTGGAATTCTAAACATTAAGTATATGGGGAAATGGTGAATTTTCTATTTTTAATATTTAAAAAGAATTTCAATGCATGATATATGTAAACACAAATTTTGATCTGCAATTTTTTTATATGCTTAAAGGAAGTGAATTAATAAAGTAAAACTAAGCAACAAGAATTTCAGGATCTACCTATTAATCAAAATCCTCTTCCAAATCCCGTGATAGTCATACCCCCTGGTGGAATATCTTGGGTTGAGAGATCAAGCATTGATCCACAAATTTAAAAGTGCCCACATTAGATATCGAGATCAAGCGTGCAAGATTAACAATGCTTTTAAATGCATTAAAAGTATAAAATTCCCTTCTAATTTTACATTTATTTAAAGATTTCCAATGTAAGTTATGTTTCTTTCCTTCTGCACATTTATTAACTTTTTAAATAAAATTCAAAAAAAATTTTGTTAAGAATTATTTTCTTCCTTCCTGCCATTTTACCAGATTCCAGAAATTTGATTCTGTTCCTACAAAACTATACAGTAAATATTATCATTCACAAGGTACTAATGCAAGGAGAGTTATTTCAGAGGTGTACGCATCTTTTGTACTGCAGTGCATACTGTCTTTGGGCGGAAAAGTAAACACAAGACGGATGTCACAGTCTGACATGAAATCCATTTTCACAAAATAATCTATGAAATATTTTGGTCATAGGAAACTATTATGTGAATTTTCAAAATTATTAAAATTAAATGCTTTTAACCTCCTCGGATACTGAACGAACACTGATGTGTCTATTCTTGTTTACAAATTCCGCCCGGAGAAAACTGGTTTCAATATCTACACAGAGTATACGCGACTGCAATTAACTTTCCTAGCATTATAGTACCTTGATCATTAATAGAATAAATTATTTTCTAAGGGGTGTATAATTTTATGACTTACACCCCTTTTTTGGGGAGGGGTGAGGGGAGGGGGGCGTAATGGTTTTTGATAAGTGAGGAAAAAATTAGACATCAAACGAATAATTGCTATGTTTCATGTTTATTAAACCATTTAAAATCCTAACTTGTGAGTGTCAAAGTCTTCAATCTGTTCCGCAGTTTTCTCAGTTTTTATTCATAAAGGCATTAAGTATTTTCTTGTCATTTTATCATTAAAAAGTGTTTTCTTGAAACATGCAATTTAATTTTTATTGTTATTATATTATTTAATTAGTACCTGGAGGGTTATGAGGACTGTGATATTTTATCCTAAATAAAATAAAAAATCAGCTTCGTCGAAACTATTTTACATAAATCCTAAAGGATTAGAAATCATGTATTAAAGTTTGTCTTGATAAATAAATTAGCAAAGTGTCCAGTGTGCCCGTGAAATAAAATATAAATAATCAAATCTTATTAGTCTGTGTTACCCATGAATTCACTCAAAAAATCCTGCCAATTCGGTTCAGCCGTTTTGCCAGCTTTAAAGTTTTGAATAATGAATTAAAGGTTTGTGGGAATTAGAGTATTTATGGTGGAAATAAATTTTTGATCAAAAATTATTTTTAAGACGCGTCTTATACTTCCGTTAAAAATGAGGATCCCTCCCTTTAAAGAGATTGTTTAACAGTGCAGTAAGTTTTGAATTATTAACACGACTGTGTGTACTGTGTACTGCCCTTTTGAAGTCTTTGTAAAAATAACTTTTTATCCAATTTTTTTTTTGGAATTATTACATTTTAGAACGGTGGATAAGCTTGTGTTCCTTTTCAAGCAGTTTGGACGAAAAATGAGAAATACCTTTTCACCCTCTGTGGACTGTGCCACAACTTTTTAAGTTTTTTAAGTTTTTAACATATAATTTTAAATTGGTATATCTTATATTGTATGGATGTAATTAAAGAAAGACCACTGTGAAATTAATATCATTAAAATGTCACGAAAGGTTTCTCAAATAAGGAAAGGATCTCTGAAGTGTAACACAATTACTAAAGATCAATACATGAAAATGGTTTATGAACTCCTGCACGTCTGTCTGTTGAAATGTTTTTTTTTAACTGAGTATGCAGTGTTGTGGAAAACTTCTTTCGGATTCATTTGAAACTATTAAACTTTTTAGAGATTTGTAAATCCTGAGTTTAAGCGCAAATTCGACGTTCAAAACTCCTACTTTGGGGGTGGATACGTGTTCAGAATTAGTTTTTTATTTAATTATTAAATAACGACGACGAAAAATAAAGTAAAAATTATACAATAATCTAATCAGATTATTAGGAACATATTTAACAAAAGAAATTTTTCAATAAATCAATGCTAAAATCAAATATTTCGTTTTCATTATTATATTGAATTTCTTATCTTCTTTGAATTTATTCGCAGATTTCTTCAAATTCTTGAAATTTCGTCTTTTCAATAATAATTCTAGAAAATCTTCGAAAATCTTTGTGAATAATGAGAAACCAGAATAATGAGAAAATAGAAACTCATAATTGAACAAGATTACTTATTTTCGATGATAAGATTAATTTTTATTTTATTGTAGAACTTTTTTTACATTTTATGTCGTCGTTATTTAACAATTTCAAAAATATGTCTTATATAAATACGAAAGAAATTTTCCACAACACTGCATACTCAGTTCAACCATCTTACATAGCCGGTCACTCCTCTGATACAATTGTTTTTCCGACTGGGAAGTGTGTTTAATTCTGATTAAATGAAAATAACAAATTTAAAGAAACAAAAACAATGATATAAAATTCATACTTGATCAGACAAAGCTTTTAAGGGTACCGTTGTGAATCGGACATTATTGGAGGATCACATGCAATTACGCTAACAGTCCCTTTAAAAAAACACTTTTAATCCTGGATTTTACCTGCTCTTTTTCACTTTAGAAAATATGTTTGAATTCTTCAATTTCAATGTTTTTATTGTGAACATTGATTGAATATATTTGATAGTAAATTCTCAAATCAAATTTCATTATATGATTTCCAAATGAAATTTATAGTTCATTTCACAAGTGTTAAAAATGCTTTAAATGTATATATTTATATATATTGTATATATCAGATGTGTGTAATGTGTCCAAACGACGTATCTCAACGTAACTGACTAAAGTTTCTGTTGTGTGGGAAACAAAAGAGAAAAAACACCTGTGTTTTGACATGATATCAACTAAATCTGTGAACGCAGTGCTACTGGAAAAATTTCCTGAAATGATAATTGATATTTATAAATTGCCATAGACTAATCTTATACAGATTGTACAGACAATGCGTTTGGGGACATTGTTGAACATTTTTGCACGAGAACATTCAATCGTGAAGTGAAAATTAGAATAAAATAAGGTCCAAGGAAAATTGTAAAGATAAAAAACAGTCCTCCTTTATTTTTAATCTTTGTTTTAATGTAAATAAATGATTATGAGTCAGCATTTTTAAATATAAATTAATTAAAATTAAAATTATTTCGCATCAAGTTGCATGTGTTATGGCTTAAATTTTTTTAATGATAAAATACAAATTATTGATTTGTTTTCGAATAACCCGACATAAGTTAAATAAAAGCTTTACAATTTTGAATCAGAAGAAATTAAAATTATCAAATTTTAAAGAAAAACGTAAAATTTATTTTATTTTAATTTTTTTAAAAAGCTAAAAAATTATTTCAATTAAAGAAAAATTGAAACTCCTTTCTTTCGTTATTGAAATTAATTTGATGCGAAATTGAAGAAAATATTAAGTTTTTTTTTTCTATGTTAAAGAAAATATTTATTTACCTATACTATCTAAATCTTCTGTTACTCCTTCATGTCGAAAAACGTTCCAGCTGAAAAAAAATATTTGAAAATAGTCTTGCTTAATAAAATCAAATACAAATCTTTTTATCTTGATTTCATCAAAAAAATATCAAAAATCATGAATATCAAAAAAATAGTTGGTATTTTTCAGGGGGGGGGGGGGGTCAAATT